AGTCTGGTAAGTGTGTAGTGTTATTGCATTGTGATTGTAATTTCAGTTGTCATGATGAATTTTAAGCAGCTTTTGGTTTATTTATTAGCCATTTGGATATCTGTTTTTGTGAAGTGTCTGATCATGTCCTTTGTCCATATTTCTATTTGGTTGTTTGTTTTTTGCTTTTATGTTTAAACTGATTTTTAGGAGTTATTTATACATTCTTAGTATGAGTCCTCTATCAGATATATTTATTGAGAATACTGTAGGTTGCGTTTACTAGTAAATTTAAGAACAGATGTGTCTTAGCTTTATTATAATTGATAGATATTTAGAAAATTAATTAAGTGACTTAAGAAATGTATGCCATATGAGGAGTACTCAAGAGAGCAACATGCGCATGAATATGTCACTTGAGTTTCAGTATATAAGAGTGTCTGCCAAGTATTTTCTAAATATCAGTCATGATACATTATAAATGACAGAAATTTAATATATCATCTATATATACATATAAGAAGCTCTGGTAGTGTAGTGGTTACAAATTGGGCTGTGAACCTTAAGGTCAGCAGTTTGAAACTACCAGCCATTCCATGGGAGAAAGATGAGGCTTTCTGCTCCTGAAAAGATTTATAGCCTCGGAAACCCTTTACAGGGTCGCTATGGGTCAGATCTGACTCTATGGCACTTAACAACAACAACATATATACATATGTATATAATTTGGAAGGAAAATATTTGTAACATTGATACTTTTGTAGAATGTTATCTGACATTTTATAGAACCTTGTTGTTGTTATGTCTCGTGGAGACAGTTCCTTAGCATTCTCAAAAACACCAGCATAAAGCAAAAGCATAAAAGAATGGAAATACATAAATATTAGATATATTCTATGTAGTAGTTCCATGTGGCTAGAGAGTAGGGCTAATGGCAGAGTAAAAGGGAAAAGGAGATGAGTCAAGGATAAGCTTTTTTATTTATTTATTTTTTATGTAAGGTTTTTTAAGGATAAGTTTTTGACAGTTATTAAATGCCACTCTTAAGGTGTTTGAACATGGGGACTGTCATAAGATTTGTAGTTTTTGGAGTTAATTTCAATGGTAATATGGAGGATAGATTGGATGAACTGTTGTCAAGAGAATCAGTGGTTACTTGTTGTTCAGTGCTGTTGAATTGGTTCCGATCCATAGTGACCCTGTATTAGGTTTCCAAGGAGCAGTGGGTGAGCTTAAACTGCCAACCTTGTGGTTCAAACGACTTTGCAGTTCAGTGCATTAATCCACAGTGTCACACCAGGAGCTACTTACTGTAGTAATAAAGGAGAGGAGTAATTAGATCCTCTGTCTGACAAGCCAAAAGAACAAACAAGTTTATGTACAGTCAGGGTGCTCCTTGGAAGCCAGGATGTCCAGACTTTGACTCTGATACTTTGGGCATATTATCAGGAGGGAGCAGTCTCTGGAGAAGGAAATCATGCTTTTTAGTGCCAGCAAAAAGAAGAATATGCCCAGTGAGATTGATTGGCACAGTGGCAGCAGCAATAGGTTCAAATGTAATGATTTGATGTTGGCACAGTTTCAGGCAGTGTTTCTTTCTGTTGTGTATAACGTCGCTATGAGTCAGTACCACCTGGGTGGTACCCAACAACAGCAACAACAAGAACAGCACCTTCACCTTCCTCAGAACATTAGTTAAGTGTTCTGCATACAATAGTCACCTGTCTTTCTAGCTGTAACTCTTCTATGGTGCTGTTACACTTTTGCAGCTAATTGAGCAGCAACAGGCCAAACTGACTGCCCATAATAATGCCCATCCTATGGCCACTACTGCTCTCCTTTTCCCACAGCCACATTTTGTACCTTGGCATTTTCAGGGCACCCCTATACACATGTGGCAGTCCAGGAGGTCCCTTGGTAGGTACATATGGGCTAAACCTCCAGACTTAAGGGGATCTTGGATGATACCTCTCCTTTATCAGTTGTGTCTTTCATTTCTGTGCCAGTTGTCTGGGCACAGACTAGTAACTTGAAATTTTTCCGAAGATGTCAAAAGATTGAAGAAAAAGACTGACAGCTCCATGATGGGACTATGTTGTTGTTATGTGCTGTTGAGATAGTTCCAGATCATAACAACCTTGTATAGGTTTTCTGAGGAGTAACTGGTGCGTTTGAACCACCGACCTGTGATGAAAGGTCTAGTACTTATCCTAACGCACCACACCAGGCAATATAGAAGTTTATAAGTAGTTACTTATTGCATTAGACATATTGCATTAGGCAAATCTGCTGCACAAGACTTTTTAAAGTATTGAAGAGCGAGAGAACAAACAAGATGGCAGAACGGGTGGACATGCAGTAAGGAGTTCCGTCAGCAACAACACAGAATACAGGACCAAGCAGGCTCAAGGGATGGTGCCAGAAATCTGAATACCTTGTATAGGAATATTTAAAGGTTGGAATTTGTAGCAGAAGCATGAAATTCACCGCTTTCTAATTCAAGATGCTCAGCTGCTCCAGAAGCCGCCATCTTGGGTGAAAGCATGTGAGGGAGAGATCAGAGCAGCCACAGATGCCTGACAGAACCACGGAGATAAAGGTGTGGACATTTTTTTCTTTTGGTATCTGTTCATTGGTCCCTTGCAATCTGCGCACCTCCATTCTGGTGACTATAGGGGTGCCTGAGGTAGTGGACACACCAGCCCTACCCTCGGAGGGTTCTACTACGCATGTGCACAGATCTCCTCGAATTTTAATGAGACAGTATCCACTTAAAACCAAATGGCCACAGCCTACCCTGAACTGTTTATAACTAGAAAAAAGGCCTGAACGGGGATTGTGGAG